TGTGTGGGTGCGGGATAAGGTTCTTTTTTGTTGTCTCCTTCTTCCTCTGTTCATCTGTATAATTTTGGATCCTGGTATGGCCGATTTTTTGTCGACACGGCCCTCCTCTTTTGGACTTCTGGTGTACGCCATCTCGGATTTTCCTTGTGATTTTATTCGGTATGCAGGCATGAAATGAATGTAAATTCCCTTTTGTTAGTGATCTTTTCGGATTTCCAAATCTGTTTGCGATGTTTGTTTCGTCTCTAACCAATATTCACTTGCGTGGGCTATACGCTCATATCAGGTTGGAAATGCTCGTTTGGAATGTCTGGGGTCTAGTCGTTAACATTCAGGAGTGCTATGATGAGTTGATAATGTTGATTGTCCTTCTACGTCACTTGTATGGCATGTAGTGATTGGTAGGATATTTGCACTTATGTTGAACGCGACCGGCACGCGGAACCAATTTCTTTACGAACGCGCACGATCGCGATCTCGAGAAAAGTCGAGCCACCACGCACGCGCTCATCCGTGCGAGTCAGGATGGCTGCGATCTCGAGAAAAGTCGGCCACCACGCACGCCTCATGCAAGGATGCGGGAGATTCAGCTTACTAAACAGACATGGCTGCGAGATCTCCCTCCTGGGCGTCTGACTACGAGAACCTGAGGGACCCGGAATATCGCGAGTATTGGGAAGGCGAACAACTTAGACTACGGGGAAGCTTGAGAAACCCGGAATTCCCCTGTCTGACGGAGCACAACCGGCTACGAGCGGGGGATTTCCATTGGGCTATAACCAGCGATCACAGAGGCCCAGACTACCCAGACACGAACAATACTCAATACTACATATCCCCGGGTTTCGTCGTTATCACCACCAACTTCCCTCCCTTCCATCTCCTCCTCCCCTATCACCAACTCACAGTGGTTCCATGGAATTCCATAGCTCGTTATTGGCCCTGCCCGCCGTGCGAGGATTGCCAGCATTACCGAGCACGCCGAGCTTCGGGAACTACCCGGCAGACTCGAACCGAAGCTGAGCAGTGAATGCACAGCCTCCGTTTACTGCCCGCCTCGGCAGAATCCGAAGCCTGTTACGAGCGGCGCCGACAACTGGCCGAACCGCGCGACCAACCCTGAAGGAAAAACGAGAGGTGATGGTGATTTCCATTTTTGGGTTTTTGAGCTGACGAAATTGGGGTTTGTTGGCAGGGGCAATGTTGTTGGGATTTTGTTCGAGAATAGATCTGTCGGCGCTGGGGTTGTAGAAGAGTACCCCCGGAACTTTGGTTTGGGATGCACTGCACATGCCATCTGCCCCATGTTGCACGATATTTGCAGCTTTCCCACTGTGCACAGATTACGACACATAGTCTATCTTCCTTCTCATAAGAATTAAAGCGCCAAGGCACGACCTACATATCCCCTCTTGCACTTTTACCCCTGAAACTTGCCACAGGAGATCTCAGTTGCGACCAGGGACTCCACACACCCCCCCCCCACTTTTCTAAAATCCTTGGTACACCCCCGTTCTTCGCACTTTCGGGCCCCCATCCCACTCCGATCAGGAAGTCGCGATGGGCGTGACGTTGGGTGTCACACCGGGGGTGTAGGAGATACTGCACCTTACCGCGGGGCCGGAACGGGGTCCAGGGATATGTGATGGAACGGAGGATCCCCAGCTCTCTACCGTCACTATCAACGATTCTCCAACGTCAATACACACAGTCCATGATGCAGTCCATGATTCACGACTTAGGGTCGGCTATCCTCCTAGTACGTAACTTAGGCTTGAGGCTGGCATAGCAGTTCCTGAGTTCCTTGGTACGGGATGTCGAGGGTGCCAGGAGATACTGCACCTTACCGCGGGGCCGGAACGGGCTCCAGGGATATACGATGGAACAGAGGATACCCAGCTCTCTACCATCAACACGACACACATGACTCAGGGTTGGCTGTCCTCCTAATACGTAGCATAGGGTTGAGGCTGGCATAGCAGTTCATTAGGACGGGATGTCGGGGGTGTCAAGGGATACTACACCTCACCGCAGGGTTGGAACGGGCTCCAGGGATATGCGAGGGAATCGAGGATCCCCAGCTCTCTGCCATCAAACACAATTAGTAGTAATACATCGTAACACTGTGCACCCTCATGAAGACCTGTAGTAGCATGTTCATACCTAGCTCCCGAAGTCCCCGTGCAATCGGGGTTTCACGGCGTCTGCTTCAACCAGGGCTGAGCAGGGGGGTAGGTCTCGCTGCCTAGCCCGGGTGCCTGCAACCGCTGTCTGCTCAGGTCAACCCTGCCAATGGTCCCGGGTGGTTAACACTAGGGTAGGACAGGAGGGGTGGGGGTGCGCCAGGGCAAAAATGATAAGAGGAAGGGTGGGTGGGGTCTTCAGAGGGGTTCAGCTCGACAACCGAGTGGCCGAGTACTGTGGGTAACTGTTATTGGTCTAGTATCCCACCTCTACAACAACCTGGGCTTAAAAAAAAAAAAAAAAAAAAAAAAGGAGGCCCACGCCGGCTCGTTTGTTTTTGCCACGCAGGCCGTCTCCAGCCTCAGAGAAAAGTGCCTTGGAAGTACTGGGGGTTTAGACCACCAGGCCAATGTCTCCCAGTTAAGTCGTGAGGCGCCACAGCCAGAAAATTTTGAGGCTCTTATGAAAGACGGAGTGCATTACCTCAGGAGGTCAGTGGCCATTGTCCGCTCGTCCAAACCGCCGACTCACAGGCCATCACCAGTGAAGTCCGGAATGGCGGAACCTGCTTCATGTGTGACAGCAGGTGCGGCAGAAAGCGGCATGTAGGGCCGAGCGTCCAGGTTGTGGTACCCACATCTATCCGAACTTCCCAAGTGTCTGGATATCTGCAGAGCCATCGCAAGCTCCACCGTGATGGCCACCATGCTGCAGCGGTTCTGAAAACGCAGTGCAGAACTCACCATCTCTCGCAGGTGTTGCACACTGCAGTGAGCTTCTTGCTGGCTGGGTGCCCCTGCCTGTGCATTGAGGTGAGCTTGTTGCTCTGCCTAGAGCATCTGCACTGCTATGCTGAGGTGAATAATTGGTTTCAATGCCCACCAGCGCCACAGAGTAGCTGTCATGAACTTGTTGCCTCAACAGGGGCTAGAAGTATCACTCGCCTTGCATGCATCAGGCCAAACTTTAAGGGGATGCACACTGCGGGATGCCAGCTCACCACATGGCACTTGTTGCTGCTGCACTCTTGTGTTGGACTCGGATGCGGAAGCACATAGTGATCATTTGGGATGTCTGCCTTGCCTGCAGGGGGGTATTTGCAGCACGCCAGATGGATGCTGCTGCTGGAGGTGTGCTGCCATTATGTTTTTTGGCATTGGGCTTGGTCGGGAGGACAGTGCTAAGGAGCGGCTGGAGCGACAAGGGATCCTGAAGATTAAATTGTGATAGAAGGAGAGTTGGCGGAACATGCCCCCCCCCGACCAGACAGGTTGCGCTAGCGCTAGCGCCCTGACACCGGTGGACCGGCAAGGCCCGGTCCCTCCGGCAAGACTAGCGCCTGGGAGGGAAGCTCCTCGGCTGCTAGGCCTGTGCGCGCCCCCGACAGTCGCGTGTGGCTCCTTTTGCCACGTGGCGTCTGTTGTTGGTGACGTGGCCATCCCGTGACACGCGGGCAGGGGTAGCGCCAGCCGTGACGTTGAAGCGGAAACACAAGAGGAGCGCAGCTATCTGGGCTAGAGATGGAGTTGGGGGGGGAGCTACAACGAGGAGCAGGAGGTTACAAGTGATGGTGGGCAAGCTGTCTGTGCGATCGCATGAGGAGCCAGGGCCCAGAGGACATAGGGCCCCTACGTAGGGGGGGCGATCTCTCTGGCTGGCTGGGTGTAGAATATGGCCGACGAAATGCTGGACATCATCTGGGAGCTGGAGGAGGGGCCAGATCCCCAGCTAGAATCCTGCATCGATTGGACGAGGGCACATGGCATGATGTCTACCTGTTATGCCCTCTTCGTTGAGGGCCGTAACCTGCACTATAAGCTACAGGAGCGGTTGATGGGCGATGACGACATGGAGGATGAGAACTGGCAAAAGAATGGAGCGCAGGAAGACAAGGGTAACTCTGGTGTCGACACCGACAACAACAACAACAACAATATTAACAACAACAACGACTACAACAACAACAATGACAACGACAACAACAACGGGCTTAGCGATAACAACAATGACAACAACAACATCAGCAACAACAACGACTTCAACAACAACAACAACGGTCACAGCGACAACGATGTCAGCATCAACAACAACAACAACAACGTCAACAATTACATCAACAACAACAAGGACTACAACGGCAGCGATGACCACGGCAGCAGCGATGCGGTGGGAATTGGGGCAGATAACAACAACATCGACGATGGGTATAATAACAACAACAACTGCTATGATGGTGGCAGTGGTGACGGCGGTGGCAGCGATGATGGCGATAGAGATGTGAGGATTGGGGATGATAATAGTGATGGGGATGACAACAACAACAGAGATGGGGATGATAACAACAACAACTACGAGGATGGCGGCAACGACGACGGCGGTGGAAGCGGCGACGACGGCGGCAGCAACGACCACGGGAGCAGCAGGGCAGAGAGCATCAGCATGACGGGAAAGAAGCCCCTTGCTGACGTGGTGGGGAGTGGAGTAGACACGGATAAGAGGGTTATATGCGGAGTGATGTGCCTGGCGAGATGGGGCTTGGGGCTGAAGGATCAATCTGCCGCTCCCCCCCCCCCTTCTATCTGCTGTTTCTACATGGTGACTCGTTCTTCTCTGTCGGTCATCGGGTGGGAGTAGGATAGATGCCCACCTCCCCTTTTTTTGATTAGAGCTGACCGACCCTCAAACTCTAACCATGAAGGGATGTTGATCGCCCCCAAGGGGATGTTGGGTGCTTAGTGTCTTGAGTTTTGCTTTGTTTCCCCTCCTGGGGTGATCGATGCCGATGGTTTTATAGAAAGGATAATACTTCATGGGCACGAGGTCAATCCTTCCCTGTCGACGGGAAGTAACCAATGCCTCTGCTCATCTTGGAAATATTCGGACAGATAAAATCATTGATGAAGTACACACGCATTATATCACACATATTTCATCACTGGTAGAGATTTGTGCTTAGTCTTGATTGATAAAGATCATACATATCACATCATATCATTGTTAGGGTTTTGTGTTTAGATTTCGATAGATACAGAACACATACATCACATACACATCACATATCACATCTTTGTTAGGGTTTCATGGATCTGCATAGGGGTGTCGGGCCCGATTTCCAGCAGATACATTCACATCATCGTACAGGGATGATGGACCCGATTTCCAGCAGATACATTCTCATAATTGTATAGGGACGCTGGACCCGATTTCCAACAGGTGTAGCTCCCCACCAATAGATGGAGCCTTCGACGCCGGGGATGCTCTTATCACCTCGTTAAGTAGGTTTCCCGTATAACGAGGTTTCGGCACATGGAACGAATTGAACATGCGGGTGGAGTGCATGGCTATTCTCTAGGGAGTACTTACTTTTGAGCAGTTAGACTTAGATCGCACCCGTCTAGAACAAAGAGGACAGGCGTTACCCTGGTGCAAAGCGTGCCACATTGTCTTCCCCTCTCGCAGAATCTCGGAAACTATAGAACACATATTCATGCAATGTCCGGGTGCAGTCCTCACATGGCGATGGTGGGATAGAATCTGGTCCCGTTTGGACACTGGGTCAAAATGGCCTTGGGACTGGAAAGCCATATTATGCGAGACATGGTCCTCCCCCACGGATAGCTCTTTCGAAAATAACATGTTTAAAACAGGAAGGAGAGGGTACGGTGGCGGGGCCTCGTCGCTTCAAAGCAGGGTAGAGGGCGGTCGCCATTGGGAGGACACAACGGCCCCAGCATGAGCCCGCCCCGGAGCATGTGCAGGAGACATTCAGGGGCCTCTCCCCTGTGTATCAGTACCTTATCATTCGGCCAAAAGTTCGACAACAAGGGGGTGATGATGCTGCGTTGCATGTTTTGCAACAAAACACTCCAGGGGACTCAGTACCAGGCCACGAGGCACTTCGTCCAGATGAACTACTGCAAGGACGTCAGCGATGAGGCGTTGTACGAGATCGCACGGCGGACTCAACAGAAGTTCCGAGTCTGATCAGATGGAGAGGGTTGGCAGGTACGCAGCGGAGCGTGGACTCGATGTGCCCCGGGCCGGTGGTGCAAGGGGAGGAGAGGCAGGGCAGCGTCCGATGGAGGGAGGGGGCAGGGGAGATGGTGGGCAGGGTGCGCCCGACTGCCCATTGGGGGTGGAGGCGGTGACACGGAGGAGGACGTGATCCACATCGATCGCGAGGCGCGTGGCCCGGGCGAGGAGCGAGTCCCGGGACACGAGGACGTGTCAAAGTTCCATCCAGCCACTGGGGAGAGGATGGAGGACTGATTGCGGCAAGCTATGTATCCCCAATGGCTGCGGTCACCGTGGCCCGTAGTCGGGGCCACGGGGCTGCGGTCAGGGAAGACCCGCTGCGGGCAGGGGGGGGGAGGTGACCAAAGTTGGGGTCGGGATTCCGGGGGCGCGACCCGGGCCCCACCCACCCATAAAGAAAAAAATTGAAAACCTTGAAAA